ACTATTATTGGCGAATTTCCAAATCAATTCATAATTAACAACTGATCTGTTTTTTATGACCTTTATGGAAAAGCAATTTTTTTATTAGATTTTCCGATTTTATATTGGTGAAATTATATGTTCAAATTCTTACCATGATGGGGTGGGTAAATGATTCATCTATAGCCACACTCACACCCACCCCGGAAAAACAGATGTTAGATCCTGCAAGATCCATTGAGGTCTAACTCCTATATGGTTTTTTCTATGATCTCGTTACAATATCGGACAATATCTTATATGTTCATTGTTTTTCAAGATATTCTCAGATTTTGATTGTGCGATGTCAGCAAATAATCTTACAAGACTCAATGATTAAGACACTGATTTGGACAGACTAGATCCTTCTTGTCAGATCTTAACAGATCATATAAGATCCAAAAAAAGAAACATACACGATACATAATGTAGATCTTGCCTGTTAGCATCTGATCGTGTATGGTCTGTCCTGTTCTTTCCCTTATTCGAGAATAGCTTTCCGATGAACAACAGTACCTGGGAAAAAGACTCGAATAGTTTACGTCAGTTTTTTTCTTCTTTTTCTATACTAATAGTGTAGAAAACGGTTATTTTTATTTTTCACCTTTCTATATTAATAGAGTACAAAATGGTTACTTGTATTCCTCATTTTTCTGTAGTGATAAAATAGTAAATCCTATTTATTTTTTATTTTCTATATTGATCATATAGAAACAGCTAGTTTTATGTCCTATTTGTCTATAATAATAATAATAATTTAGAAAATGCTGATTTTAATTTATTATTTTTTGCATTCGTCATATGGAGAATGTTATTTTTTATTTTTCTACATTGGTAACAAAGACAACAATTTGTTTTATTCTCTATTTTTTGTATATTGTTGACATAGAAAATCTTAGTTTTTATTTTGTATTTTTCTATATCGATAATATAGAAAAATAAGAATTAAAACTAACTGATATTTATATTATCAATTAAAATCAATAAGAATTCAAAAATAAGATTTTCTATATTATCAATATAAAAAATCAAAAATAATAAATAAAATTTTCTAAACTGCCAATTTAGAAAAACAAGAAATGAGAATTAAGATTCTTGTATTACTGATATAGAAAATAAAAGCAATAAAACTAACTGTTATGTATATTATCAACATAGAAAAATTAAAATTAAAACTATTTGTTATTTATATTATTAATATAGAAAAATGAAAAATAATGAATAGGATTTTATATAATATCAAATATAGAGCAAATGTTGACTGTAGTTGTTCTAAAATAAGACTGAAGTTTATGTCCAAAAAAACCGAAGCAAGGTAGCCGGTCAGACTAATCATTTCCATGTGTATAAGAAATATTTGAGAAGTTTGATTTAATTGAAATAAATCTATAGTATTAATAAGCATTTCATATAGCTCTATGCCATCATCTATAAGTAGAATACAAAATTATCTACTCGAATTTTATGTCTCACAATCTCTTTGATTTAAAAAGCAGAAAATGTTGTTTTGATTCTGACTTTCATCTTCGAGTTGTTTGACACATAATTAAAGGTCTCATACCGTTTTACATGTATTTGTTTTTTGTCGATGGAACAAAAGAAATAATACTAAAATGTACTTTCTTCCAATTGCACTGAGACATTAAACATATTAAAAATACATGACATTACATGTAATAAAAATGAAAATTGATTAAATAGTATTAAATTTAATCAAGATCTCGATTATAGCTAGATTCTTCATAGATAAATTAAAAAGGATGAAATTATTTTTAAGGAGTTTATAAAACTGCATGACATTTTTTATTACCTTCATCGATTCTGTAACTGTCCATTCAAGATATAATCATAGAAGTATTGTTTCTAGTTTAAAGCTCAAGTCAGTATCAATATGAATCTTTAGAAAATTCTAGACCAACAAAAAAAAACTTTCTAAGATTTAACCAGTGCAGAATGCGATACAATAACAATTTGAAGAAGAAATCTTCATACTTATTGCTATTGAGAATAGCTAAAATCATGATGAAATCTTTTACGATCGTTGCTTTTCTGTGAGAATCCTCAAAAGTTTACACCTATTGAATAACCTACAAAACAAAGATTTTCATAGGAGATTCGTATTGTCTTGTAAAGAAGCGAAAATATTTAATTGTAGAAAGATCGAAATCGATCCGTGATCGAAACTACTATTGTTTAAAAAAACGTGTTTCATACCCTATTAAGTTGAAAATTTGAAATCCATTAGAAATGAATTCACAATAAAAGATTTGATTGATTCGTATACAGATCATTGTTTGTGCTACAATGCAGAATAATGAACATGACAGATTCTTCAAATATTCTTGAACTTGGGAAAGATTTGTTTTTGAGTTCTTCTTATCTACTAAAATTCGAACTTACGTATTTTTTTATCTAAACTTATCTTATTTAGCACTTCGATTAGTCTTTCTACAAACTACTTGTTTGTTTGAGATTCAGGAATAAATTACTCAATAATAAGTATGATGCAAAATTAATGGCATAAAATACTTTCGAATGATGTATGATTTATATTTGTGACACATTCGTAAATGGAATAAGAAAGAAAAATGCTTACACAAAAAATTTGTAATTTTTTTATATGAATCAGTCAAAAACGTCTTATGCATAGTAGTTAAGTATAATTAACTATCGTTATTATCTAGCAAGATGTTTTTAACGAATTCATATAAAAGTTGCAAATTTATTTTGTCTCATTTCACTCAGAAATGTGTGACAAACATAAATCATACACCGTTTCCTATCAACTGATAACAAAATTGTTTTTCCTTACGTTCAAATTCTATTATAACTCATTTTATTCTAAAACCCAAACAATAAAAAATGAAATAATTTTTAAATATATTTCAAACTCGAACTAACGAAACCAGTGAATATGTTGGAAAAATTCGACAAAAAAGAAAATTTCATTCACAATAAAATTGAAGTTCATCGCAATTTTTCACATTACCAGTTAAATTTTAGTTAGTTTTAGTCAAACTAAGGATTCTTATACAAAGTATTTGAAAACATCAACAGTGTTTTGTTTTCAACATTGAGAAAAACCAGATTCTAATCAAGTTCATAAGTAAAAAAACTTTTGTAATTGAGAGCAGTTCAATACCGTTTAAAACAAATGAAAAGGACTCATTTCAATGAAATCAATGTTTATCTCTACTTCATACTTTTGTTTCATTTTAGTACCACTACGTGCAAGTTCCATTGATATTCATCCGAATGCAAAATGGTCACAGAATGGAATCACTGTTGCTGGAGGAAATGAAGAAGGCAGTGAACCCAATCAACTCGATCATCCATGTGGTTTGTACGTCTATGATGATCAGACGATTTATGTCGCTGATTGTTGGAATCATCGTATTGTGGAATGGAAACCTGGTGCAACGAATGGAAAAGTAGTTGCTGGTGGAAATGCAGAAGGAAATGGAGCTCATCAGTTAAACTACCCATTTGATGTGATTATCGACAAAGAGAGCGATAGTCTCATGATCAGCGATGGAGCGAATAATAGAGTAGTTCGATGGCCTCGTCGAAATGGTACTAGTGGAGAAACAATTATTTCGAATATCTCTTGCATCGGTTTGGCAATGGACGACAATGGTTCTCTCTATGTCGCTGACAATGGAAAAAATGAAGTGAGACGATATAAAATTGGTGATACTAAAGGAACAGTGGTTGCAGGTGGTAATGGACAAGGAAATCGTCTTGATCAACTCTTCTATCCCCACTACGTATTTGTTGATCGAGATCATTCAGTTTATGTGTCTGATAGTGAAAATCATCGTGTAATGAAATGGGAAGAACGTGCAAAACAAGGCATTGTCGTAGCCGGTGGTCAAGGACAAGGAAATAGTCTCACACAATTGAATGAACCTGTAGGAGTCGTTGTCGATCAATTGGGTACTGTCTATGTGGCTGATTCTGAGAATCATCGAATCATGCGTTGGCCAAAAGGAGCCACACAAGGAAGTGTCATTGTTGGTGGAAACGGTAAAGGAGCACAGTCGAATCAACTCTCTTGTCCCACAGGTTTATCATTTGATCGACATGGCAATCTCTATGTCGCCGAATATGGAAATGCTCGAGTACAAAAATTTAATATCCAATGAACTCAATACGATGATTAATTTTATTTTTTTTTGTTCTCTTTCTCTTTCAAATAAATAGTGATTGAATGTAAAAATGAATTCATAGCTATTCTATTCGCGCGCGCGCGACCAGGAACCATCCTGGTGGAGCCGTGGCGAGCATAATGCTCATGCACGCGCGGGAAGACTCACATCATCCACATGCACCCATCCGATGTCATATGTCAGTGAGTCTGGGGGCTCGATCGTGTGCCACGGACACCAAGACAGTTCCTGGCCGAGCTTTTAGGGTCTACCCGGAAGTCCTTCTTATAAAGCGAAACCCTAAACTCAACGTACCTCACTCATCCTAACTATTCTCATCTCAACAAAGAAAAGAAAAAGAAAAAAAAATTAACTTACCCGTTGATGTTGAATGATGACGGCTTTAACAGGAAAAGAAAAACATGAGTATAAAAGATCACAAGAGGACTTACCACCCTCTGTATGATCCAATAAAGAAAAAAAAAAGAAGAAAAAAATAAAAACTGATACCTACATTTTTTTGTTGTCTTGATTTGAATTGAATTGTATAATTTTGTATCGTTGCAGCCAATCTAAAATATAAAAAAAAAGATTAGAATTTGATTCAATAAATTAAATGATTTTTACATGGAACATCATTCATATTTATACGTTAAAAAGTCGATAATTTTCTTTTTTTTTTTCTCGTCAGAGAGTGATGAAAAGATGATAAAAATTAAGCTATTATCAACATACACGCATACATTGAGATAAAGTCAATCACAGTATCTCAATGTATGTGTATGGATAATGCTTAATTGACGTACACACTCATTATGTCATATTATCATTGATCATCAATGACAACATGAAGCATAACTTACGGACGAGAGAAGAAAAGAAAAAAACATTATTGTCTAGGCCTGTTTTTCATTCTTGTCTGTGTCATGTTCGTTTGTGAGCACACGAAGCAGACGAACACACAATATTCAAGTATGTGTTCATCATTGAATTCTTTTCTCTTTGTTCGATAGATCAGCAACAACATGGAAAAATTTGTATCATATATTCGCAATTTTTAATATGTAAAATATGAATTTATTGTAATTATTGCAACTTGTCAACCTGAAGGGCGTCATTTGTCTGATTTGAATGCTATATGGGTTGCTCGAAATCAATTTATTTTTCTTGATAAAAAAATTATTTTGTAAGTTTAAATTTGTTTCTTTTTTTAAATTTTTTCATTAATTTTTTAGGTTGGTACACTTCTTTTATTAATTCGTGAAAATTATGATATTATTTTATATGATGCTCAACAAAACCGCTCATTAACAAGCATAAGAAAAAGCAATATGGTCAAATGATAAAGTATGCCCTTATTAATGGTGATCATGGAGTTATTTGTACAGTTGATTTACCTATTTATAGAACAAAAGTTAATGAAAATATTGTTTTTTTTGTTTTCATACAGAAGTTCGACCAAAATTAGATGGTAAAGATTGTTGGGAAAAATTAACTTTTCTTTATTTATTTACGAGATCAAATTGCAATGTTATTAGGAGATGTTGAAGAATGCATTAAACTTCTTAGACAATGAAATCAAAGTAAGATTTTAGATTGTTCTTTTCTTTTTTCTAAGAGAAAATTATTAAATTTGTTGCGCTTCTTGTACACTGGAATCACTTGATGAAAAAGTAATTTATTATTGACAACAAAAAAAATTCTCATCTTAATACTTCTTCTGAAGGTCTTTAGAAAAAAAACAAAACAATATAGACAATTTTATAGTTTTCTAATATTTTCAGCTAAAAGTCCTGAAATCTAGTTATAAATTTTCGTGCCAGTATATCAATTCTTTTGAGATTCTAAATAATATCTAAGAATGTTTAATTATGTCTAGCATATTCTGGGTGCGTCCTTTTTCGTCCCTATCTTCCTTACATCCTGACACATGATTAAGGACGAAAAAGGACGCACCCCATATCCTTTATCTAAAGATTTTCCCGTACTATTGGATAGAGAAGTTTATGATAATTATCGATGTTGCTTTTGATATTGACAGATAAGATTTTTTTGAAAATAGATTACAATAAATTACCATGTCATAGTTAATTTAGTGTTCCTGCTTTGATTGATATCCATTTGAATGTAGATTTTAAAAAAGTAAGAAGACTTATCATATTCTATGTCAAAAAAGAAATAGGTCGGTAGACTGAGATTTCAACAAAGATGTTATTACTTGTTCTTTATTTAATTGATATGTTAGATATGAAGTATTAAGATAGACATACATTTAATCAATATTAATCTCGTGTTAAATTTCATAATTCAAAATAAAATATATTTTTTAGTTACTTGAAACAAATCTACATGCTAAATTAATTTTACCACCATGTCCAAGAAGTCAACAAGAATTAAAGCAGGTTTAATATCAAACAGAACAGCAAAACTTGCTGCAAACCTTCATATTGATGAAATAGCAAGAAGTGGTGAAGATTAGACTGATGATGCAATAAAAATTGAAGGTGTAAGTTGAGGTGATACTGAAATTGAATTATCACCTGATCTTGTATGTTTTTATTCAAATATATAAATTATTTGTTTACTTCATAAGTATTTTAAAGTTATTTTAATTATTAAGGCGTAATGAACATTGACCAAAATTATTGTATCTACTACTTGGATTAAAATTAGAAAAATTAGTTGGACGCCTTCAAATTGCTTATTGTTTAACAAAAAACGAATAATTTCAAGATGAACAATGAATTGAAATATGTAAAGAATATATTGTTAATTGACAAATGTCAATGACAAAAACGAAGATTTAGCGAAAGATGATGAAAAACGTTGATATGAATTAGTTGCCTGTTTTACTCATTGACAATTACAATCAATGCACAAAATCATAAAATTAAAATCTGCAGTTAATCAAGCATTTAAATTAAAAATTTATACGACTGCAACAAGCTTCACCAAACGTTTATTGGAATTGGAACCAACACCTGATGTTACTCAATAGATTTTCTGTTTTAGTATTAATCTTTCATTTTCAAACCAAATACTCTCATTTTTTCTTGACTTCAACTTTGAAAGGTTTTAAAATAAACGAAAAAAACAAGAAAGAAAACATATCTTTAATGCACTCAAGATATATCAAATCTGTTGATCGAAGTTGTTCATGTGTTTTTGATTTATTGGAAACAATTGAGTTTATTCTTTGTTAGATGAAACATAATTTTGATTGAATTATTTTAGAAGGGGAACAAAAAAATAAATTTTTTTTTGTATTATTTTGTTTAGACACGAAGAGTATTAAATGTTTGTGAAAAAAATCCAATTGATGAACATCCATTAAATTATGATGAATATTACCCATTTAACAATTGTGCAGCATCCAATGTACCACATTTATCGGTATGAAATTTAAAAATGAAACCGAATTTAATTTAAAGTAATCTTTATTTCTTGTTTAGTGAAAATCCATTATACGATGCAGTCCATTTACCGGAATTTAAAGGACAATTATGTCGTGTTACGAAAGCAACTGAAATTGGAATTCTAATTCTATTATCATTATTATTAACTTTTAATGCATATATTTATCATTTTGAACAAGTAACTTATCATTAGAACGTTTTTCTTTTATTTCAAGATAAAGAAATCCGTTTCTAAAACGAGAATTTAGAATCAATATATTTGTTTGAAATAAGTTCACTTCAGTAGCCACTGAAATTCTATGATAATGTATGAATAAATAATCTCGATTTATAAAGCGACATCAATGCAACTGAGTACTTTATAATCGTTTCAGAAATTTTATCGACATAATTTCATTTGATATTTGGCCTTTGCAATATCTCGATTGATTAAGGGACTCCCCCCCCCTCAGGAATCGCTTTTCGTTATTCGTGGACTGATTTGGCTGAAATTTTCAGGGAATATATGTGTTGCGTTAACTTAATTTCTTACAAATTTTTGATTCATAAGACTTTTGTTTT